TAACAAATGAGAGTGCTTTCAAAGTCAGAAACGACAAAGATTAATTCGATTTGAACTCGTGAGCAGAAAAAGGCTGCTAACTTGCCATTTAACAGTATGGTTCTGATCAGGGTGACATGAGACACACAAGTCTGTTGTTACTCGGTTGTTTTTGGAGCTGCAGCTCTGCATCATCTTGACAACACATTGACCAACTTCCCCTTCTGTGACTCCGGAATTAAACATAATTTCTATTTTTGTGAAACTAAACGGAATCAGCAGAAGTTTGTTTTTCTTTTACATGTGATGTATTTTTAATGAATTCCCTGGAAAAGAAGAGAATGGCAGAAAACTACAGAATGTGTCTATACTAAGGAATCCCCTTTACAACCCTGCACAGGTTACAGTCCAAATAACCATGTAATTAATCCACTTCTTCACTGGCAACAAACATTTGACATTTCTTAAGATTGCAAAATTGTTTCTTTTATACAGCAACAGTTTTCAAAAATGCAAACCACATATATTTAAACTAAAGAGGTTCAGTAATGAGGTTTGGGCTTCTGAAAGTATATTGTTTTCTTCTTGCTGTACCAATAGGCATTTGTGGTTGAGTGACACAATTTTCTATGGGATTTAGATGAACCATTGAGTCGTTTTTTGGTTAATTCCAGCAGTACCATTCTGTGACCCTTCCTCTGGCCGGGCCCATCAGAGATTAAAGGTGAACACAGGGGCAAATCAGTTATCAAGTCAGAAACACTCATCATCAACTTCCCACTGTGCCATTACTGCACAGGCGCACAAACACACATTGAGTCCACCCTCATCCTGCCTGCAATGCAGGTCACGACCCCAAGTACCAGTACTGAGAAAGGAATGAGGGTGACGATGCATGACCCTTAAAGTCATCTTAGGTGTGCATGAAAGTGTGCATAAAAGTTTATGTTGCTAAGAGATGATACATAATATCTCAAGTTTCAAATGTGGTGATGAAAGAGTCACATGGGATTGTTACCATTTCAAAGTTGAAAGAAACACAAGACATGGCACAAGTTGCTTGTGTTATTTTTTCTAACATAAGTTTACGATGTATTAATGAGAGAGTCCCAAGAGGGTTTTTTTCCCTTTAAAATAATACAGGTATGCATAAACAGAGCAAAAGTGGAAAAGTGGAAATTACAATGTGTTGATGGAATTTCATCTCTAAAGTTTGATACAAGACTTGTGACACTAAATACAGAGTTACTACCTGCTGCTCATTAGCTTAGGTTGGCCTAAGGACTCTTAACAGCTAGCTTGGTTTAAAGCAGGAGAGGGGGGGTTATGTATTGGACTTATTATTGGCTGGGTTCAGTGATTTCCTGAAGTTGTTAAAGGTAACTTGGCAACTTCACAGTGAAGACTCAAGAAGTGATTTTGCTTAGCTGATGCGTTGAAAGATGTTGTTACCTTCGGAAAGAGCTGTGCTAACTGTTTCCTTTTGGTTCCTGTCTTGTTGCTATGCTAAGCTAAATTGTGCCTGACTTCATATTTACTACAGATACTATGAGAGCAACTTACTATTCCTTTTCATTCTTCTAAGAAGATACAGTTCTTTCTAAATAAAAGGGAAAGTAATTCTCTTAGCAAAAAATACTTTATCTTATTTTGATAAACTTTTTCCTATTTTTCCCTTTTACAGCTATTGCAATGGGTAAAGCATTTGTTCTTTGCACTTTGTATTTTAGTATGTTTTGGCCAACTTCTGGTTAAGTCAAAGTCTCAGTGAAATCTGGAGAGATGGGGCCCACTGAAACTGTAGGAGGCTAAACATAGCTGGTTCATAATGTGAGGCTGACGAGTGACATTAAGTTTAAGTCTACATTAGTCAGAGAAAGAAAGAAAAAAGGAAAGACTAAAATGTCTGTGTGACCAACTGAGCTTTGATGCTCGTGGTTGACTCTAGAAGTTTATGTACTCTCATAAAAAATAACATTTTACCTTCATTCTGAGTCTTTAATGTTTATTGTTTTAAATCATAAAGCACAATACGTACGTAGTGATATTACTTGGGGACTGTTGTAGCCAGTATTTGTTTTGTTCTTGTTGAAGTGCTAAGTCTGAAATGTAATTTACTGTATTCCACTTGATGGACCGTAAGTTACAGTTCTCCTGATGCTAGTTTTCACAGCGGTTGAAATGACAGATTGCTTTTCCATTTCACAGTTCATTTAAAATTGCCCTTGAAGCATTTGGCGTGCTTGCTGAATGCAGGTTTTTCTGGTTCCAGAAAATAGTCCTTTTGCAGCATTAGATTATTCGATTTTTCTTGTTGCTGGATGGATTTCTTGGCATAAAAATTAATTTTAGCACAACTGACAAGATAGTGAAAGGAAACTTCTGAGCCTGAAGAGCAGACAAAGTGAAATATAACATGAGAGAAAGCACAAAGGCAAATCTACAAGCATGATCATGATCAATCACTACACAAGTGTGTAGTGATTGATTGGAAAATATGTTTTTGGGGTCACACTGGTAGAACCATTAAAAGCCTTTGCAATAATTGATCTCCCAACTTATCTCAGAATGAACTCATTCTTTAGCATCATGCAGGTCATTATTGTGGTTATACAGCCAACAGATTTTGTATTTTGGTTCATCTTTTTTTACTCCTGTCTGCGTCATTTCCAACCAAAGTAGGCAAAAAAGAAGTTGACCAACTCTACCCAACAAGCCAAATACTGAAAAGCAAACAACAAATGTAGTGAGCAGCAAAATAATATAATGGAGCATTGAGAAGTGAAGCTTAAATGTATCTTTCAGGAGGTGTTGTAAACCAAAAGCAAGCTGCAAGGAGAGAAATGATTGAAGAGAGCTATGAATATTGGAAATAACTTGCAAATAGTGTATTTATAGCTTGTTTGGCTGACTTACGGCTTCTTTCGAAAAATCTCTATCTTGAGGCAATTGGTAATATGTTGTAGTGTTTGTCACTTGTGGAGATATACGTGATGACGTTAAGGAAGGCGCAAAAGCTTCATGTTACTGCAGTAGTGTGGAATAAAGCAGTATAAAAAAACTGTCCAAGCGTGGTGATGTCACTGGTGTTCATACATTCAGAAAACATTACAGAAACATTTACAGTTGTCAACTCCCAACACGCAATTAAGCCAGACATACTGCAAGTGTTTTCAACAAACACAATAAGGATAGCTGAGTCCTTTTATAACTCTTACCTTTGTTTTAGACACACTGTAGTCAGTCTAGTTCGTAGTTTTGAGTGTTGTCACAAGTGTAATAGTTCTAATCCCCCTGAATCAGTACAGCAGTTTCTATCTACAAAGGGGTTTAATAGTTCAGACTTCTTCTTGTTCAAGTCATGAAGGGCTTAGTGGATCTTAGCAGTGAGTAAGTGGCTCCTCAACTGGAAAAACATTGGCTTATGGTTGTAAAGACCTAATGAAGCATTAGCTTACACTGCTTCTACCCCACTGCACTCCCCTAGCCTCTCCCAGATGGAGGGACTTTGAGTGGGAAAGAACACAGGAGTTGGACTGATTGTCTGGGGATCTAATCCGTTATCTCTCTCCTACAACCTGTTGCTCCCCAGCGACTTAGCCCCGGCCCCTGCAGCTTCCTCTGGGCAGAGTACACTCTGCTGACAGCTATCTCCCAGAGCAATTGTTGGTAAACATGACTGACCTGCTTACCTCAACAACAGGTTTCCTCTAACCCCTAATCCAGGCCGCAGAGGAGACCCCCCCTTTTACCCTTTTGACCCTTCCCTCAGTCCAAACCCCCTCCTCCCCTCCTTCTCGTCCATGGTGGTGGTGGTCGATGAGCCCGTGAGATAAGCCTGGGTGGAATTCCCATCTGGGTGTTCTTGGGAGTGACCTGGGTAGCAGAGGAGCGTCAATGAAAATCAGTCAGCACTCCACTCAATAATGAACCAGTCGGAACCTTGACTGCAATTCTCATCACTCTAATTTCAGTTTCTATTTGGTCTAGCTCTTTATTTTCCTTTTTGGTTTTACAGTAGAAAGGAAGAGAGGTCAAAGAAAGAGCAATGCTGACTTAGTCGAGAGCCTGCATGAACTTTCAACAACCTCTAACCGGGGGTAAGACAGCCTTAAAAAGTCTTGTTGTGCATGAATCAAGAAAAGAGCTTAGTGATGGAAAAGACCTTGAAAATGGCACAAAGAATGTGATCTAATGCAAATCGGATTTCTTAGTATTATGAAAATGAATCATATTAGGTCAGATCGACTGTATTGCCAGACAAAGTGCTATTTTGTTACAAAAGTACATAAATGTTAATGTTAACCAAACCAAAATGTATGACCAAATACATGTATTCTTCTCAAAGCATTATGGACTGCTCAGAATAAACAAACCTCTTAGACAAGATGGGCAAGAAGTTGGCCATATTTAACCATGGGCCTGGTGCATCTTTACAGACCATGGGTCCATGGTGGAAGGGCCAGTTGTCTGGGAAAGAATACTCTGGGTCTAGAGTGGCCCGGGTTAAGCAATGGCCTGGCCATTGTGCCCCAGGAGAAGGTAATTAGGAAGTGAAACCTTGACCAGTTGACAGCAGGCTTTGTTCAGGGGCGAGTGGGCCAAGAGAAATGCTTTTGAAAGCTTTTTCACTTTCTTTACTGAGGCGACCCAACCCCTTTCCTCCAGAAACACACAGGGGGAGATCATATAAGTTTCTGAAGAAAAATGCAAGGGAGGGGGGGTTAAGTGGTATTTATTGAAAGAGAAGAAATGTATAGGCAGTTCGTTGTTTGACAAGAGAACCAAACTAAATATACAGTGTACAGTATCTGTTTACCCAAAATGTCATTTCTAATCCATGTTAAACTACATTTCTAATGCATGTTGAACTACATTTCCAGTAAAACATATTTTGACCTTTCAAACTGTACCACAAATGTGCATATTTGTATATTAAATTCTACAAATTCTGTTAATCATACTAATAAAGTCAACCCTGGTAGAACTCAATAGTTGATCCTTTTCTGTGTCCACTACAGCCACCTCTCCTTATGAACTACAGCCGCAGCAGAAGCTGCCAGCGAAACCATAATCAGCTCTGTCGTCTGCTTTTCCTGCACTGCACATTGGCTCTGAAGAATTAGACTTGTGGAAGAGCCAAATGAGCAGATCAGCACAGGGAGGGCATCCAACACTCGGGAGCCCACGCCTGTCCTGTCCTTGTCGACCCTGGTGCTCCGCTCTCAGCTCCTAATGTGGCAGGAAAAGTGTGAACATGGCCTTGGCAAACTGCAGTCCAGTCCACCATCATCACCACAGGCCAGTCAGGGGGAACTTGCACACTCCTCACACAGCTGGTTCTCTAACTCCTGCAAAGGATTAACTCCTTGTACTTCTAAATCCAGCCACAAGCTTTAAAGTAATAATTCCTGACATATTTCAACATTTAGCATTAAACATTATAGTTAAGCTATACTTAAGTTCACTATTGGTCTTTTAGGAGCATGCTACGAAAAAAATATATTATTAATGTTTTTTTCTAAACTGCTGTAAGTCAAGTGTTGACTAACAAGAAGACAAGTTGTGTTTACGTACATATAGATATGTCAATGGTATCTTCAATCCTGAATTTCAACATCCATGTTTTCTTGCTAGCTGCCTTCCCCCTCTCCTTGTTTTCTATAAGACCTGCAGCATATGCATTAGGTGTATTTGGTCTTGTGATTGTCTGGATTTATGTGCAGGCAAGTGTACATGAAGAACAGAAGATAAATTGGGAGTGTTTAGAAAAATACTCATCAAAAGTTGCATGGATGCACTTCCAAAACTTCTGCATTTTTAAAGTACATTTTCAAAATACTTTGAATATGGTAGTTTATTTTCTTACCATTGGCCAAAATAAGCTTTAAAGATTCACTAATTTAAGCCAGTGATGTAGTACTTGAGCCTAGGACTCTGACCTGGTTACTCGAATTTGAATTGACACTGATGAGTCGGACTTTGACTCAAGCACTGACTGCAGTTGGAGAAGATGGAGATGAGGACTCAAACTTGACTTTACTTATTGTTCAAGACTCTTGTATTGTTGCTGTTAGTTGTTTTTTTTGTATGTAAGGCCCTAAAAATGTATTTGGTCTCCCGGATTTGACCTGCATGTGCGTCTTGTTCAGCAACAGCTCCTTCCAGAGTGCCTAAAGAGGCGTCACAAATCCTGTGTTTGGCCTTCAAAGATTTTACAACCAATGCGAGCAAAAGCAGCACAACTTTGATATGCAAATGAATAATTTAGAAGAAGACAAGGACAACCTTAAACTTGAACAGACAGCTGTCCAAGACGCACTCAGAAAAGAAAGAGAGGAACTCGACTCAGGCTTGACCTTGAGGTCTCAGAGTTGGATTTGGCTCAAACTCAAAGATTTTTAAAATCTTCACAGATTTTGAAAATGAGAGACACATTAAGACAAAAATCCAAGATGAAACATCTTCGTTCCTATACTCTGTTGAGAACAACTCCTGTATATGACCAAAACAGCACACCACACACCAAAAGATCCAATTAATTCACCAACAAGCAGAGTCCTGACATATCAAACATGCTTAATATTTACCTTTGAAATCTGGGAAGTCCCAAGTTTCTCGTTGCAGATTGGATCTCTCTTAACACATCTCACACACATACAGGAAACTGACAAGATAATCTTTAGAGCTGACAAATGATCTGGACTTTGTTTAAGATTGTTGGAATAGGGCCAAAATGTAATGTGTACCCAGCTTAAGGCGACTTAACTCAGACTTGACTTGGATTCATCTTTGTTGACTCAGACTTGGACTTGAACAGTCCAAGTACTCAACTTGGACTCAAGGTTTGCTGATTCAACTACAACAATGACTTAAGGTAATACGTTGACTATTATTTTAACTAAACTAAAGGTATTACACTTGCTCTGAGTCAACGTTTAAATGTCAAACAAAGCTGTTGTACTCTAAAATTCACATTAAACTCACAGTTTTCCTCATCTGGACAACTCGCACTTGAACTAGATTAAATTTAGAATTCTAGAGAAAAAACAAACTGTGAAGTGTAAAAAGCAAGATGGGAAAAAAACATGCTGAAGAATATAAAGGAGTGTCTTCAACTGGAAGCCTGTGACCACAACAAAAAATTCCACTATGCTTGAGTTTGAGCTTAAAGCTTACAGCTAGTCTATAAAACACTGGAGAGAAGAGGAGAATGATCTCCACATCCTTTGTTATCCTCTTTGTTCTCTGCCTTATTATAGGAGGCCATTTTGACCCCTCGTAGCCAGAGGTGAGGTCAGTCTGAAGGACTTGTTGGGTTCCTTCCACTTCGGCGCCAAGTAAGAAAATTAAATGTGCAGGATGTTTTCTAAAAGCGTAAGATAATGTTGAGGGTGTAAACATTTAAGCAACGACAGCTTTGAGTGGCATGCAATGATGCTGTGACCCTGATGATGAAAGATTGGAGGGTAAATTGCAGGATTGAATGAATGAAAGCAATCGAATCATGCGAAAGGGATAAAAATAGTTTTTCAAACTTAAGTGGTGGATGTTTCAAAAGCACATCTCAGAGACTTGTTTTGGAAAAAAATACATCACCTACTTGAGTTGGTTATTCTTAACATCAATCAGGTTTTATGAACTTGTTAGGGAAAATCTGAAGCTTTATGGGTGGTTTTGCACTGCTTACGTCTCTGAGTGCAGGTGTCACAAACAGGCTTTTCCAAGTAAATGAAGTCAACTGATTGCTCTTGACTTTCTCCTGGAGACTCTGGAGCTGGGACAGGCATCAGTCCTCGGCGACTGCGGTGATTAAAGTTTTTATGTAGTTGACAGAGGAGTTAGAAAGCGCCAAGAGACATTGTGATTAATGATGGCATCGTGGAGGCCAGTATTATGTCACTCTGAATGAGGACTGAAGAGACAGAGGGATGACATCTTTACAGGCCTGGTACTTATAAACACATTTGTGTGTGTTTGCAAGTAAATGTGTTCCAAACAGAACAAGTGGCACTATGCACATTCACCATAACACGCTCACTCTGTGACTGCTGCTGTAACCTGTAAGTGTGTGTATATGTGTGGTGAGTGCCATAGTTGGCTGGTGGGCCAGTGTTTGATGATGAAGTCATCAGTTTAAGTAAACTCCAGATGGTCGGGCAGAAAGTAAAACAAGTGCCATCTGCTTAGATTCAACTGCTGCACAACTTCTCTACTCGTGTCCCTCCTGTCCTCCTCTCTCAGCTGGCACAGCTAAGGACCAGAGTGCTCAGAACATTAATGCCATTAGTGAAATGTGTCAGAAGAGGCAGCCAAGCACAGTGCATTACAGCAGCCTAGCACATCATTAGCACCACGGGCTATGCTCACAGCCTGGAAATGGAGTGAGGTAGTGTTAATCATGAATGCATATATTTAACCCTGCATGCTTTGATTAGACTGTATTTTCAAACCAAACTAAAAAAAACTTGCATTTCCTTTCTTCCACCCATATGTGCAACACAAAACAGAATACAAGTCATTTAACCACTAATCAATACGAAGAAAACACACTTGGTCTAAAGACAACAAAAAAACAACAATCTCTATTTTTATTGTTTTTACCAGACAATTTACAATTTGTCAACCCATTCTTAAAGGGCTATATATAACTTTCAAAGATACTGCTTTTGCAGCGATACCGCATGGCTGTTAGGTGAACTGCACCAGTAACCTGTTGCTCGCTCTCTCTCGCGTGCTTATCATACATGTTCGTACGTACATGAACGAGCATTTTTCATCAGCCGTGAAACACTGGATATTTACCGTCATAATGTTTACAGAGGAGGTAAGTGGTCATACACGTGAAAGTCTGTGAAGGAGTCTGTGGGTCTGTATTCATTCTCCATCCTACAAACGACAGTCTCTGCAGGCACTGGCTGAGAGCAGGAGTGTGTGATGAGTTTGTCTGCCTTTGAGAGCTCCTAGAGCGCATAGAAGTGTGTGGAAGACGGCCTCTGGCTGTAGTGGGAGTGTGTGATGAGTTTGTACTGTTGATCTCTGTAAGCAGAGCGGAGTGAGGAGGACGTTGAGAATGTGCATAAAATGTCACTTCCTGGAGCTTTCGCGGAAAATACAACCCAGGAAAAATGTTATACAGGTAACACAGATAGACAGTGAACATCTACTTTTTCACATCAGTTAACCGTTCGCTTATTAATGGGCAATAGAAAACGATTTACACATGTAAAAAAGTTACATATAGAACCTTTAAGCAAAGGGAATTTTACAATATATTTTTATCATTTTTCCTTTATTGATACATGTAGGCCGGGGTACATACCTGTAGTGCCTGTTCTACTGACTGAGTAATGGGAGTCTGAGGACTATTGGAAGCATATAGTACAGCATGGAAAAGGTCAGTTAAAACTGATCTGTCAGACTATTAAATATCTTTCATGCAAACTTTCTATAATGGACTGAAGGTGACAGTCAATAAAAGAGCAAATTAATCAATCCATCAATCAATCTTTATTTGGATGGATTAGACCATACCTTTTGTTTTATTTTGTACAAAGACCTAATATTAATCCAGCATGAGCTCAGCACTAATCTACATTCAGCAAAGTTACAGTGGAAATGAAAAATGAACTTTGTTGAACAGTTATCTGCTGCAGCTGTGTTGAGCTTGGAAAGTGTGACGGAGGGAGATGGAGAACGAAAGAGACAGATAGAGAAAAACAGAGCAACAAAAACAACAACAATGACAACAAATGATTCATAACTAAAATGCCAGTAATTGTAGGAAAAGTCTGGTTAGTATTAGAGTAACAAAAAAGTATGATAATAGACCGATCATTCTTGTGTTCTAGTCAAGGCCACACTAATCGAGACCAAGACATGCATGAGACCAGAGTGCTACGAGATCAAGACAAGACGAAGATATTTAGGGATTGAGACCGAGTCAAGACCTAGGCCAAGGCAGGGTGAGACAAGACCAAGACCATAAATATCAGTGAATAAGACGTATAAAAAAAGCTTTTCATTCCCAGACAAGACCTTCAAAAAGTGGTCACCAGACCGGTCTTGAGACCTCGACCAATCTCGACTACAACACTAGATCATTCTACTGTTAACCTTACCAACTATAATGGCAATGCAATGGGGAGGGCTGATGATGTTTAAATGTCTACAGTGGGAAAGGTTATTCTATCTGGAACTTGACTGTACCCAATACAATACAGGCTTCCCTTTACATTTTGACCCGTGGTAAAATGAAGCTTTTGTGTCTGAAGTCGGATCCAAAGATGAGTGAAAACATTAGGAATCATCTCCAGTGGACCACAGCTAATTAGATGGAAATCAAACCGTCTAAATTGTCACGTCCTGGCATACCTATCACCAGTGGCGATTCTAGAGTCTGTTGGGGCCCTGGGCAAAAAACATTTGGGGGCCCCCTCCAACCAGCGTTCATCACAATCATGTCTGCCAGGGTCCTGATGCTCCTTTTTGTCTTTTTTTACCTGTTTCATTTTTCAGCAATAATGCATGCAACACGTAGCAGGGCAACAAGAGGTAGTGCTGTCACATGGGACCCGCTTAGGGAGGTTTCCTACTGTCATTGCAAAAATGTACACATTTTGGGCCACTGCTTTGGTTGAAGTTTTTCAGCCCTCTGGGGCCCCATACTGGTCTGGGGCCCACAAGCAGTTGCCTGCCTTACCTGTTGACAAGCAGCACATCTGCCTTCAGTGTATGAATGTGTGTGTGTGTGTGTATTGGTGAATATGATTTGTAGTGTAAAAACACTTGGAGTGGTCAAAAGACGAGAACAGCGTTATTTAAATACAGTCCGTATCATCA